GGCTGGTATACGACAAAATATCAACTTTGGGGTGGGGAACTAAGGTAAAGGACATGGCTGAGTGGTAAGAGCAAGATAGGTGGGGGCCTGCTACCTAAGCTCTAGACTTAGATACAGGTAGAGGCTCCTCAAGACTGGAGGCTGCATCTGCCCCCAGGGGAGTCCTCCTCCTCCAGGAAGAGGGGACCAAGGAGGCAATCAGGTCAGATTTATTCTTCTCAGACTTACTCAGCAAGGCCGTGTGAGGAAAGGGGGGAAGGGGGTGCCTGGAATATGGTATCCCTCTGAGGAGGAAACATCATGGGGTGGGGGACAGAAGTGGTCCCCCTCTAGAAGCCTAATCTGAGGCCCCAGGCACAGTTTCTTTGGAGAGACGGGAAAGGACCTGGGGTGCTGGACAGGGGCCAATGTCAATTCTTATTCTCTCCAGTTAGCCAACCCTTCCCCCGATATAAAAAGGGCTGTGCTCCCAAAGTGTCTTGGTAAGTCAAAACATAGAATTTGAGGCATTCCAATTAGTCTAGAATCACTTTAATCTCCTGCCTGGTTAATGCCTGCTCCTTTCTTTAAAGATTCTAAAAGTTGTTTGTAGGTGTTCTTCATAGTTTTAGGGTTTCTAGAACCTGTTTCTTTCCATATGTAATTTTACCTGAAAACTTGAGCATTTTACTTGATGAAAGGGGCTACCCTCATTTTCAACCATGCTTATGACTTAGCTCCCAGGTGAGATAAAAGAGGAGAGCAGATTTTTCCACATAGAGTTAGGGGTGCAGAACATTGCTGTGGAGTTGAAGGATGTGTGCATATCTGTATATGTCACTGAATATGAAATTAGCGGAGCCAGAGAAAGGCAGGGACAGGACTCCTTCCTGAGGTCAAACATAAAGAGGTATTGGGAAGATGTGCTCAGTACTGCCTCAACCTCGGGCTGACCTTCAGCTGGGCAAGGGACTGCTGGCAGCTCCCAGCACTGCCCGTCCTGAGCTATAGGATGTCTCTGAGTATGGTGCAAGGGATGCGGGACTGACCTGTATGTCTGTATATGTGAATAGAGATACAGCTATGCAAAGTGACCAATCATTGGAGTTTTTCCATTCTGTGAAAAATAAGGCCTGGCTCAGTGGTTGAGCATCCACCCATGAACCTAGAGGTCACAGTTTGATTCCCGGGCAAGGGCACATGCCTGGGTTGCGGGTTCAATCCCCAGTGGGGGGTGTACAGGAGACAATCCATCAATGATTCTCTCTCATCATTGATGTTTCTCTCTCCCACTTCTTTCCTCTCTCTGAAATCAAAATATATGCTAAAAAAAAAAGTAAGCCACAGAATTCATTATCTTTCACACCAATAAAAAAAGATAAAATATCAGTAATAAAAGCATCAGTAAAAATAATAATGCAGCATTACTGTATCCGATGCCTCTGATCCAAGCTTTGTTTACGTTTGCTGCACTAGCCATGCGGTTGGCTAAAAATATGATCCAGTTACTCCCCCACCCCTACGTCCAAAAACTCACAACCTATTTATCAATGTAAATACACTAATACTCAAGAATCTGTACAAAAAGTTGGAAACTAAATAAATCAAAAACTTATAGGGGAAATACAAATGTCCCACAATTTTCAAGTTCCTCTCATAAAAATTTAGAGAAAGTTCTAACTAGCTGGTAGCAAGCACTGTAACGGATTCTCCAAAGGAAAAAAGTGCATCCATCCACAACATGGAGAGAAATCACAGCTTAAAGTAAATGGGCTATGATTTGAAGATTCCAAAATATTCATTTAAAATGAAACTTTTGTACAGAAGTCCTAGTACCCATGGATGGGCACTGTGACCCTCCGCTGGACATCATGAAGAATCTGTCTATAAGGTAATGGAGAAAGGAGAGATGTGGTACAAACAGCATACTGCCTGGCAGATAGTTGCTAGTGAATAATGCTGAAAGAAGGAACGCATGGTTACCGATAAGTTAAATACTTGTATGACATACAGAATTTACATGTTCATGCAGTATGTTGCATGTAGACACAAACCCACCCAAGGCCTTCTGGCTTTTAAGAGGCTCACAAAAGATCCATGTGTACAAATCATTTCTGCCTCATCTCCAGTAGCATACCTTTCAGTCCCTTCTCCACATACACATCAAGGAAAAGAGCTCTGAGGATTTATTTGCAAAGAAGCAGCAGAGGGTTCTGGGAAAGGCAGGGACAGCTTAATCCAGGGTCAGGAAGCCAAGCAGGACCCTCTCTGTACATCTTAGTTTCTAGCTGGTATTTTCCTTCTGCATGAAGAACTTCCTTTTTCATTTCTTATAATGTGATTCTGCTCGCAACAGGTTTTCTTAGCTTTATCCTAAAATGTCTTTATTTCACCTTCATTTTGATAAAGTTTTCATTGGTTATTCTGAATTGACAGTCTTTAAAGATATTATGTGTTATCTTCTAGCTTTATTTGTTTAAATCAGTTATTACTCTTAGTCTTGTTCTCTTTTGTGTAATTTTTTTGGTTTTGCTTTGACTGCTTTTAAGTCTTAAATTTTTTTTAGAAATTTCACTATTTTCTGTCATAGTGGGTTGTTTTAGATTTTTGTTTGTTTGTGGTATTCTTTTGGTATTTATCTTTTGGGGCATTTGCTAAGCTTTCTGGATTTTCAAGTGGTGGTTTTATTCAAATGTGGAAATCTTCACATATTTTTTCTCACCTATTCTCTCATTTCCTTTTGGGACTCCAACCACACATACTTTAAATTACTTAATGCTGTTCCACAGTTACAGTTTTTACCTCTTGATTTCCTTTGTGTAAATTATCTGTACCTCATCATATTCACTTAGAGCCTTCATTTTTTAAATAAGTCATTAGATTACTATAATGGTGGGGTTTCATTTCTTCACTTTGATAGATTTCCCTATGCTGTTGCTAGCATTTTATTATTATTACTAATATTTGCCATTGTGTTACTGAGAATGTACTCTGGATTAAATTATTTTAATTGCATTAAGGACTGCACATTGTTTTATTGAGTATAATTCTCAACCAAGGGAGTGTAGTGGCACTAGGCTGAAGGGAGTGCTTTGAGCCTGTTCACTCCCTGGACTCCTGTCTGCATGTTTGCAGGGACCCTGGCCTCAGTCCTCAGACCCTTCTCTTCCCAGTTTTGCCCACTCTCCATATGGTCTCATCCAATCTCATGGCTTATTCAGAGGTGGGGAACGACCAGCCCAGGGGCAATATGAAGTGCAAAATAATCATTTGGTCTGGCCCTGCAAAAGCATTAAGGGTGAGTTAATTAAATGTTTGACCAGATATAGCAGGCTAATTTTTAAGTTGATAATTTTGCATCATCCGAGAATGATGTGATACATATCCACATGGCCTTTGGCAGAAAAAAGGTTCCCCACCCCTGGCTTAAAATAATGGCCACAAGCTGATTCCATCTCCAGCCCAGACCTCTCCCTAACTCCAGACCTGTGTATTCCACTGCCAGTTTGACACCTGTACTTAGATAGATACCTCTCAGGCCTCTCAAACTGACAGTTACCTGTAAATCACATGCTCCTCCTGTGTTCTGCATTTTGATTTGTGGCATTTCTATTTTTTTAATTGTTCAGCCTAAGCATCTTAATGCCTCTAACTACGCTTTTCCTCTAGCCGATCCGCAAATCCTAGTAGCTGTTGAGTTTCAAATGCATCTAGACCCTGACCACTTCTCACCACAGTCACTGCTACCCCACTGACCCACCCTTGGATTACAACCTCCTCCCCTGCTCCCTCCCCTAGCCCACTGAAGTCAATGCTCAAAACAGCAGACAGCGGATCCTGTCAAATTTAAACCACATCAGGTCATTTCCCTGTTCAGAGCCCTCTACGCTAGTGGCTTCCTGTCTCACTCAGGGTAAAAGTCAGTCAAATGTGACCTATAAGGCCCTACAGGAGCAGACTCACCTTAGCTTCTTCTCCTCATCTCCTCTTATTTCCACTCAATCATTCTCCTCTTTTCCACTTGGCTATTGCTTAAACATGCCAAGCAGCCTCCCCACCCCTGCCCCCACCTCATTTGCTTTTTCCACTGCCTGGTGTATCCATACAGCACATTCATTTCCTTCAGACCTTTCATTTAAAATCACCTTCTAGTGAGCCACCCCCCGCCGCATGCACTGTTTCTAAAATGTCAACATCCTCCCGTGCCCTCCCAAACCTGCATTGTGTTATATGCCCCTTCCATTCTTTTATTCCCTAGAGTGTACTGCTGTACATTTGTGCATTTTACCTAATTACCTCATCTGTTGTCTATCTCCCCACAATTGAGTGAAAGTTAATGAGGTCAGGGATATCTATCTTATTAGTTATTGTATCCCTAGTGTTTCTAATAGTACCTGATACCTACTGGATGTTTTGTAGATATTTTTTTGTATAAATAAATGAGTGATAGAGCTAGGCTACAAGTTTACCTGTTGCCAGTAGATGCCACTCTCTAAACATATTCCCACATGTGAATGTTTTTCCAGTTTCGTCAGCAGAATGGAAGTTAAACATGTGCAATAATTACTGTATAATTTGAAAGTTTTCTGGTTGAAATCACATTTGTAAACTGTTTGTAGGCATGGCAGATTAAACAGCTGTGGCAGGACCTTCATTCAGAACAGTATTGTTGTGATCCCTGCATATAATTTGCACATCTGAAAGCTGCATGTAGCTATCAAAATATTTAAACAGTGGGGGAGAGCAGCTCTCCTTATATGAATGAGGACCTTTTGGAAATGAACAAACGTAGTGTTAATCTGATTATCTGTAATCCAAAGTCTCATCTGTGTTCAGCTGACCATCCCTGTGCCTGTATTACCCATAAATCCTGTTTCTCTTCTGCTTCTTTGAAAAGGAGATTTCAAGGAAGGAAAAGGGAAATTTTATATTCTGAGTATGCTGAGTATGCATGTTAGTAATTTATATCAGTATAATAATCTTTGTTTTAATAGTTACTTTTTTAATTTTATTTTATGCAGGGCAACACAACTATTTATGTGCTGGAAGAAATGATTGCATCATTGATAAGATTCGACGGAAGAATTGTCCTGCCTGCAGACTTCAGAAATGTCTTCAAGCCGGAATGAATTTGGGAGGTAAGTTTTGTGTTTTTTAGTTCAGTAAAAATTGTTACTTTGTAATATAATACTACTAGGCTCTATGTACTCCCAAAATTTAAGATGAACTGACATAGAGCAAAGATTTCCAAAACTCTAACAAGTTCTGTATTCATGCTAAAACATTTTTGGAGAAAAGTATGTCTTAACAGGAGTTGAAAAGAAGCATGTCATGTGGCGTTGGTTCCAGTGATGTTTTCACACCTGAGTTTGCCAAGGTTTCAAGAACAGAGCACATAACCAAACAAAAATGAATGACACTTCATAAGTATTGTAGCTAACAGTTTCTGTTACCACATCTGCTTTAAATAATGCATACATGTGATAACATTAACCAGGTAGGAATACGTTCCTAACTCCTGGAGTAAATGTAATAAAGGAAGACTTATATGAGCAAAACTTTAAACTGTTATAGGAGCTCACCAAACAAAGGTGGGGAGGAGGTAAAAGACGAACCAAACACAGAAGTACACACATTCATGGATGTTATTCAGCAGAGGACTCAACCTCCTAATGGCATCAGTTTTCCCTAAATTAATTTATAAATCTAACACAATCCTAGCAGAAATACCAGTTGATGATTCTGAGTTTCTAAAGGACAGCCAGAAAAATTCTGGGAAAGAAAAATAACGAGGGCAACTAGCTCTCCCAAATGGTTAAACATATGATACTGCTACAGTAATTAAATAGGCTGTGTATTTGTTTACTGATTGTCAACAGAAAGTCAAGAAATAGATTCAAATAATATGAGAATTTTGTGTATAATAAAGTTGGCATTTCAGATCAGTGAGGAGAGGTTAGATTATTCAACAGAAGTTATTGTGACAACTGGGAAGCCATCTGGAAAACAAAGCTGAATCCAAACTCTTACTATCCACCAAAATAAATTCTGGGTATTTCAAAGATTTAAACTTTGAAATATAATTACAGAATTACCAAAAGAAAACATGGTTTTAAAAAAATATATATTCTCCAAGTAGAGAAGACCTTTCTAAGTATTTAATAAATGCAGAAGCTATAAAAGAAAAGAACCAAAGAAATCACCACTAATTGCCAAGTCAAATATTACTGCAAATAGTGGCTGGTCCAGAGAGGCCCAGGCCGGTTAAGAGGCAGAATGCCTGCTTGGGAACCCTTGTTCGGCCACTTTCTAACCATGTAACCTCAGGCAAGTTACCAAGTTTCTGTTCATCTATCACTTGCATCGATCACAATCAGTGGTGTGATGGGTGATGGTAATGCTCATTGCAATTTCTATAGCACTTTCACACATTATGTGGAAGACAGTATTTCCCCATGTTTTGGTGATGGTAAGCCTCACGTGCTTAGGGAAGTTAAGTGACTTGCCCAAAGATGCCCAGCCAGTAAGGTGATGAAGCTGGATGGTGGATCTGTGGGCTCCTGGTCCAATGTTTTTGGTATACCACACAGCTCCCTTCTTCTAATCCAAATCATCGCAGGTTGTGGCACAAAAGATCGCCTTCTGGAGCAGGTGAGGGGGGATCAGGAGAGATTAATACTTTACCATCTGAATGGCACAATTGTACAGCCACTGGTTGTAAAACGAATTCTAAATCAAGTTTGTCAAGTCCAACATCAGAGGTCTGGTAGAATGTGACAGCATTCATGTGATCTGTTGTTGGTTTCTGTACGTGTGGGATATGTCTGGTTGGTTTTAGTAAACAATTTTGATAGAGAGAAAGCTTGCTTTGAATCTTGAGATCATTGAAAGTAGTGAGTCAAAACGGACAGAGTGGAAATTAATATTTATGAAAGTAGGATTTTATTTATGGTCAAGTTATAATTTAACCACTTCTGGTTCATGGATTAAATAATTAACTTTTACTAATTATCCAGTTGCAGTAACATACGTTGTAATTTTCTTTTTCCTTTATCACTTATTCTGAAGCCTCTCTTTTAGTTTCCAGTTAGGCCAAAAGAAATGCTAGCCATTTTATTATATTTTTTTAAAGGGTAATGCAAAGTTTAACCTCTTAATGCAAAGTGATTTTTAAAATAAAAAAAAATGTGAATTAAAACCTTTTCAGACATGTTCCACTATCACCCCTGCTTTCCCAGCAAAGCAGAGCTGACCAGTCCCTTCTCATCCAGCCCTCTCCCTGCCACCTCTGGGGGATAAGGCAGATGACCACCCACTGTAATACTGGGGAGGCATTTTCTGTTAGTGAATGATCCTGACTCCCAGAGCAGAATTAGCCAAACCCTTCTACAGACTTCACAGGTCCCAAACACTTTAAAATGCTCTTTTCCCTATCCTGTCAGCTGGTCAGAGCGTAATCCTGCCCATGCTTCCAAAGCAGGCTTCCTTTAGAAAGTGCAGGCAGGGGAAAGAGCGATAGGTTTGTATTCCTCAGAAAATAAAGCCATAAATGTGCCTCTTCCCTTTTGTCTGGATCCACTCCCTCCCTCCCACAAGTACTCTTCTTTTCTTTAAAAATCCTGCTGAGTTTTAGGCCGCACACAAAGGAAAATATAGCAGGAGATGTGAGCATGTCAACAGAGAAATGGCAAGGAAAATAGTAGCTTTTCTGGCCCCAAGCTGGGCCTGCCATTCTTAGTATAGCCCCTATTAGGAGATCTAAAAAAAGGTCCTGGTTCTGTATGCAGGAGCATTAACCTCCTTCTCCAAAGGAAGGAGTCACTTTACTGTTACCTGACAGTATCCGGCAGAGCGTGATCTAGTCATGTCTTTTAAAGATTCTCCTAAAAATTATAAAGCACAGCCTAAAAGTTAAGTGGCCCTCGGATCAAAAATTAGTCCTTTGGTGTGTTTCTGGCTTGTCTGTACTTTGGCCGTAGAATGTAGAGGGGATCTTAGAGGTGTTTTTGTTTTGTTTTGTTCCTATTCCAAGCCTCCCATTTTACAGCTAAGAAACTTGGAATTCAAGATGCTGTCACTAGAGACCTGAAAAATGCATTGTAGTCATGGTGACAGGATGATTGCTAGACTTGCTGCAGTGATTACATTGTCAAGTATATAAATGTGGAATCACTATATTGTACGCCTGAAACTAATAGAATATTGTATACAAACTATACTTAATTTTTTAAAAAAATTTATAAAGGATTTTAATTCAGTTGCCTTTCCACTTTTTCAAAGCACCTCCCCATGTCTCATTTTTCACTAGATATTCTAAGAAGTCCATTTTTACATTCCTTTAATGAAGATTCTAAAATATTAAAATCTTGCTTCCTGTAGCTTTAAAAAATGTAGACTTCAAAACCACAGGATAATCCTAATTCTGGTTCCAGTGTACTTCCATCACATACCTGCAGCTTTCCTTAATCCCAGCAACCACTTTTACTCAGTTTACCTGGAGCGTTTCAGCAGGGGCGGGGAACCTTTTTCCTGCCGAGGGCCATCTAGATATTTATAATACCATTCCTGGGCCATACACAATTATCAACTTAAAAAATTAGCCTGCTATTGTTGGTCAAGCATTTAATTAACTCACCCCTAATGCCTTGGCAGGGCCAGGCTAAATGATTTCTTGGGCCTTACACAGCCCGTGGGCCGAACGTTCCCCACTCGATTTATTGGGTACCCAGATCAGGTCCACCCTTTCCTCTTGGAATGGAACATGTCATGGGGAAAGAGAAAAGGATGTCGGATACAGGAAGGAGTAGCCACAGCAGACATCATGGTTGCTTTTGGGGAGGCAGAGAAAATGCAACTAGGTTAGAAATTGAAGGGACACAAAGCTAAAATGCTGGGAGTCATTCAAAGAAACACACGCTCTTGTGCATTATTAATAAGAATGGAACGAAAGAGAGGAAAATATTTAGATTCATGGTCATCAACATAATGAAGTATTAATCAGCCACTAAAATCACAGCGATGAAAATTCATAATGACATAGAATACTTTCTGGAAAACCAGTAATAAAAAATTACTTTGGTTATTCTGTGATTACAACTATACATGAAGAGACTCGCGTGAGTCAAAAGACGAGAAAGAAATGTTAAAATACACAAAATGATTGTGTTAGTGAGGATTATGGACAAGGCTTTTCTTCTCTTTTTTTCTAGTTTGTGAATAATATGAACATGTTTTATAACAAAATTTAAAGAAAATATAGTTCATAATTTTGGACAAGAGAGAAGGGAAGCAGAAGATAACTAATAGTGCTGCTGAAAACTTAAAAGAATTAGAAAAAGTAAAGAATTAGATGTCCGAATAGCCAAAGGAGTAGATTTTCCCAAACAGGAAGGAGTGTTTGGGGTGTGGGGAATAAAATGATTGAGACATCAGTCAGTCCCCTGCTGTGAAATGCTTTAAAAACTGAAATGAAGAAGTAAGTGAAAAACAAGTGACCCAGAGACCAAAGAGTGACAGAATCATGACTGACACGCCAAGCGCAGAGAGAAAGATCTTTTTACTTGAAATTGGCTTTATCTGCCAGCATCTTGCTGCAACTGGTTGGCTTGGTCACCTGCAAAACTCAGGCAGTGTAGGTCTGATGAGAGAAATTACAGGATCAACTCCGGTGAGAACGTAGGTTTAATATCAGAAATCAAATAAAAAAAAACAATTTTTTTATCTCTAAGGGTCTCCTGAGGCAGGATATACAGTAGTCTGTAAAGTTTAGAAAGCCCAAGTGTAATGACTTTTGTGAAGAAATACCATTCCCCAGATATTTTTTTCTTCCTTTCATTCCTCTTGCTTCTAGGCAGTAAGAATTTCAGTGGGACTTTTGAGCAGGAAAGAGGAGGGGGAAATAGCACATTTGTATAAACCGATGAAATTCTGTTTTTCAGAATCTCCATATATAAGTTACGCCATATTAATTGTCATAGTGATATGATTGGATTAAGCAACATTTACCCTACAAATTTTATGGAGGAGAGTTCAGATTTGGTGCCAAAGAAGATAGAATTTAAAGATGTTCTGTATTTCTTCAATTCCAAGTCATTTTCTTCCTTTCAAATTTTAACTGTTATGATTATAATTTGCAGTC